CCTGTGCACATTTAAAAAAGTTTAAAAAAAAAAAAAAGGGGGGAAAAAAAAAAAAAAAAAAAATACAGGCAACTGTTGAACTTTTTGCGTTCGAAGTTAAGAATATACGTTCAGGAAAAAAAAACTCTTCAGGAGTTTAAATAGCTGTAACAGTTAATACTGCTTTTTTTTAATGTACCATTGTTACTGCCCAGGTGCGGTAACTCTAACAGGTTTAAACATACAGAAAACAGCCAAAATAGATATTTATGGATAGCTAATTTAAGTTACCTCAAGAACAGAAGAGATAGGCTATAAAAGCACCTTCTGATCAAAAAATCCACTGAATCCACTGTATCAACTGTAATCCACTGCATGCAGCAAATCAAGAGTGGAGGTAAGAAAGGAAAGAAAACAACTTACCCAGATACCACCCAGGGTTCTGCATGTTGATCAGAAATATTGAAGAGACGGCAGCCCAAGTTCTCCACATCCTCTAATCGACCTTCACGTGCCAATAAATAACCATAGACATCCATTCCTAAAGAGAAACATTTGAAGATCAATCATCAAGAAATGGAAAGTTCATTCACAACAACAACAACGAACAAAAACGAAACCACAAACACCTACTTTAAACTGTGCAACTACCAGTAAGGGTTCAAGATACAGAGCTTCTGAATATAAATTCTGAATTGAAATCCAAGTACAAAAATATACAACATTATACTGCATGCTCGATTGCATGTAGCTGCTACTCTAATGTCACTTATCAGATCATTACACTAGGTAAACTTTCTTTTAGGATTTACTCACCTTTTATTAGGTAAGGATCCAGCATTTGTGCTTGTTCAAATTTTAGAATAGAGTTTTTATTATCTCCGGCTCTGAAATACAGGTCTGCTAAGCTCCCCAGTAAGTCTACATTATCCCTCAGCAATGACTTTTTCTCTAAAGAGCTTTAAGAGAAAAAAAATGCCTGTTATTTATATAATGCCATTTTAAATATAATTAATACATTATTTGATTACATCATGCTCTTTGAACTCTTACCAAATGGTATTTATTGCTCTTGTGTTATCTCCAGTATGCACAAAAGCGTATGCCTTGATCCACACTGAAAGCCAATCCAAGTTAGGAATACTCTGAATTACGTTGATTGTCATAGAGGCCACTTCCGCACCTTTCACCGACAGCGAGAGCAAGCCTGTTCAGAACGGGATATACATCAATTTCACCCACCATAAACTGCTTTTAACAGCAATTAATTGTCTGAAGACCAGAAACTCCATCCCTTGACAAGCATAAACAAGCAGCTTGTTACAATGCTTTTTATGATTTGCATAATGCAGGCATTACATATTACATGCAAATGCAAGACAGTTACCTAGTCCCAAGCATAATTCAAATTATAATACTGTTTAATACTGAAATACTAACAGCGTGCAGACACCTACCTAGTATGGCATCAAGTGCTAAAGGGCACTGCCTTAGTACTTCTTTGTAGCTCGTAACAGATGAGCGTTCTTGACCTGCTTTCTTGTATAGATTTGCCAGCATCATATTGATCTACAAGCAACAGAAATGTTGGTAGAGTCAAGCATGGGAAAGGAGAAAGCCTCACTAAGAAAAGGTCACAACTTTGTCTTCAAGCACGCCTGCCTCCCTTCCTCCTGTTCTGGGCAGAAGACAAAATTACCTGCTCTTCTTCTGAGAACACTATAACCTACCAAATAGTGTAAAATGAAAATTGTTGCTTCTTTCTGAGTCCAAAGATGAAATTTACATTCTTTTGTACTTGCATAGCGCATCCTGAAATCTCAGTGTTTTGCATATAAGAAGTCAACAGACGGGCAAGTGTTTATATATGATGCCAAGAAGGACCTGTATAGCCATTACATTAGCCTTCTTTCAGTTGATCTCTCCGTATCAATAGAAGTCTGAGAGAATTAGCTTAGGAAAGCAGAGAAAGTTTCCATTTAGCTTCTGAACGAAGTCATGATTGATAAAAGACCAATGATTTGAGCTCTACGCAACACAGCTCTACACTGGTTTCTGCTACGATATTTTACTAGTGCATATAGGTAAAAAGTTTGCTTTTCCTCAAGCTTTTCTTCTTTTTCTGTTCCGTAAGTTGGTCTTTAAACAGAACACTGTGATGTTACTAGAGTCTAAACTGCGTACACTGTTAGCACGATGCAGCAATACTGTTAACATGAAACACAGCTGATCGACCTGATGTGTTAATCTTTTAAGCTCTTACGACATAACAGAGCCAGCAAGCAAAGACTCAACGTCTTAGGCACTGCAGACCACAATGGGATCTAAATATTTAACGTTATCTAAACTGTTACTAAAAAGGACAAAAAGATTTTAAAAGATGAAGCACTGGCATTCCTTCTACTTGCCAAAGTCTTCAGCCTTTCAAGGATCTTACATTGCTCAAACTATATAGTAAGACATTAAGTGCCATTCCATACACATTCTGGGTTCAAGAATACATCAAAACACTTGCTCAGTTTGAGCAATCTCAATTTAGCAAGTTATGTTGACTGGCTAATAGTGCAAACACCACAGAACAGTCAGCCTTGTGAGACAACTAGGCCACAAGTCTCTCCTTCAGCTCCAGCAGGTGACAGCGTGCCTTTCCTGTCCAGTGACACACAGCTCCTCCACGGAGACTAGGACTCCACTTTGTGGTCATAGCCAGGCAAAATATGTTAATTTAAACAATTGCTTTGGCTCTCACATTTACATGTTTGACTCCGAACTGCAGAAAATTATTCCGTCAGGTATCTGGTAATTGCTTACTAACTTGCAGTAACTCAGCTGTTTGCAGTCGCGTAAATTTTTTCTCTCGGTAGATGTGATTCATATTGCTTTTGTTGAGACCACCCATTATTCTTAGCCCTATGAAAACTCTTCATGATAAGATGCAAAGAAGAACAATTGAATGGATGATACAGATTCCAAGCCTTATGTATAGATATACACATACTTTACAAACTTTCAGAAGTAAAAAAAAAATAGTGTTTCTTCATCGTTGTACACAAGCAAAATTCTGTACCTTCCATGTGCAGTACTAAAGAGTTAACCAGGTAATTCACACCCATTAATAAAGATGCACACAAACATTTATCTCTTTGCACATTTTTGGAATTCTTTCTAACAGAGGGAATACAAAGTTTGTCTGATTTTAAAGAAAAGAGGCCAAATAAACTAAGCTAATTTAAACATTAGGAAGTGTTTCCAAACAACATTTAACGAATACAAAAGCAAATACCAAGACACAATGCCATTATACCTATAGGCTACGTTCTTTTTTTACCAGATACTGGCCTATAGATTCAAGATATGCTGACTTGTGACAAACGTCTGCCAAAACTAACCTTTGGGGTCCTCTGTCTGGAAGGAATCCCATCAAGAATAGCAATGGCATCTTTATCTTGCTTCAGCATTGTGTAACATTCAGCCATTTTATATTTCACTTCAATTTCAGATGGTAAACACTGAAATAAGACAAACAAAGTTTAAAGTACATTGCTGTTTTAGTCAAGTAAAAAAACTGGATAAGGTTTCCTCATTAAATGCTTACACTATGTTGAAAAAATCTCATGCAACGAAGTTAACAATGCAACCTACCGCTAGCTCGTATCGCTCCTGTCTTCAAACGAAAAGCATGAACTACACATAAAAAAAAGTCTCGTGTTCGAGACCATATTAAGTTTTGCATTAGAAAAAACACACTGATATTCTCAAAACAAATTAGCCTTAAATGTCAGTTTTATTTGACGTGATAAATTCACAATCTAATGCTACAATATTGAGTCAGCAACATTAATTGTAAGGGGGAACACAATTGTTTTATGCAGCACATTAGTCAGTTTGTAAATACCTGGCTTTGGGGAGTTGATGCAGCATTCCCAGCAGAAGGTCTTACTTTTGACGTTTTACTTAACGCTTTTTTCTGCTGCAAGGCCATTGTATACTTACTTACAGCGTTTCTGTATTCTTTATCATGGAAGAGAGAGTCTGCGTGATATACAAGGAGCTGGTATTTCTGAGATGGTGAAAACAGTTCCCTAGAAGAAATGCAAACACAAAGGCTGAGATCAGCTAACTGCATGAGAAGGAAAACCTTACAGATCCAAAGTAGCTGTAGCTTTGGTTTGGCTTCAACTTCCAACTGCTGCTGCTTCTTTGCTACACTGGAAGGGCCCTTGGGTAACAGGTACTACCTTCTCACAAAGGGATTATCTCGCCAATTTCTTTTATCTGTATACAAACAAATGTAACAGCCTCTCCTGACACCTCCTCAGTAACAACAGCTTAGGTTTAGTTGCTTGGCCGCTGCTTTCCATAATGGAGCAGCCCCCATCCTCCCCATAACAAACCACATGTTGTCAACGTCCATTAAAGCACCTTTTGTTTTAACGGACTCAAGCTTACAAGGCAACCCAGGTCCTTGTACAGCTATCCTGGTCCTAATCCACATGCTCCTACGTTTTACAAACCCCCTTTATAACACTTTCAGTATGTTTGCAGAAGTGTTGAAGAGCTGGGGTTTCAGAATGGGATTTGGGCTTGAATGAGTATTTCAAAGCCCATCCAAAATGTCAAATGATACCTTACAGGGAAGTCCCGGAAAATAAAGGGAATCACTGGAGTCAGGGGAAGAGCCGTGACCTACACGGGGCACACCTGGAAGGAGAAAATCGCTCTACCTCTACCAGGACGCTCATGGGTGTTGCACCGGGTACCGGCTGCGCTGCTCTGGCTGCGCCCCGGCCAGAGGCGCGCTGGCAGAGCCGGCCTCCATCCCCTGCAGGGCCGGGGCCGGGGGCACGGCGCCCGCACCACAGAGCCCGGCGGCAGGGACGGCTCTAAAAGCGACCCTGCCTCCTTCCCTGCTCACAAGCCACCCCCCGCCACCCTGCGAGCTCCCGCTGGCTTCCCCCTCCGCAGCGCCGGTCCCGTCAGGCGGCAGCCACCCGGCGCGCCCTCTCGCGGGAGGGCCACTCACGGGTTATTGCCGCTCATCGTGAGGAGAAGCCCGCTGAGGAGCCGCACGTTCGAGTGGAGCCCGGCAGACGCCATCTCTCGTACGTGCTCCACCACACTCATGCTGGCGGCGGAGACACGCGGAGCGAGAGGGACCCGGGGCAAAGGGGGAGATAAAACCGCCGCCCGCCGGCACTCCAAAATGGCGCCACCGAGGGGGCCTCGCACGCCGCCGCCTGCAG